ACAAGCAAAACCAGGGAGCTGGACAGGGGACAGATTGGATTTGTCTTCAGTGTGGAAGGGATTGTCACTCTCGAATTGGCCTTCTAAGCCACACAAGACACTGTTCCAAGACCTCCATCCAGAGCACGATACTATAGTCTCTCAAGACTGAAGGATGCCTACATGTCATACAGAGGAGGGGAAGGATTTGTTCTTGAACATCCCAGAGTGCAGGGCACGCAACAGAGATGGGGATATTCATATTCGTATATGAATATCCCTGCACAGGTGGCAATAAAGAGGGTCCAGCTCCATGGGGCCAGATGGTCCATTCACCAATCCACCACTGCTGAGGATGCTGCACTTCTTCCAATGGCTCTGCAGATTGCAATCTGCAAGCCATTCTTCAGCCGATCGTGGAGTGGCTAGCCGATCGTGATCTACAAAGCCATTGATAGAATCATGGTATCTGTGGCAGTGGTGGATTGGTGAGTAGACTGTCTGGCCCCATGGAGCTGGACCCTCATTATCACCACCAACACTGATTCCAACACTGAATTCTCCAACTACATTTGGTTCTGCTTTGTTCCCAACCTTTGTGTTTGAGTTATCTAAGATTATCAACACATGGATTTTTTTACCAGTTTCCTTATGTAGAAAAGTTTTCAGTTTCTTCTTCCTTAGCATCTGCTGTTAAAACTTATACTTGAATGAGGATTATATTGAAACGTTTCCCCTGAAAATTAATTGATATTAATTGGTTAGACTTTGCTTTGTAGTCCATAACTATTTGTACTAAATCCCTTGCTATTACAGCTGCTATCAAGTCCAAGGTAAAACACTTTGTAATTTTCTGATAAAAAATGTCTTATTCCAGATCATTTTAGTTCACTTGTACTGTTACATTTAAACATTCCATTTCTTATTTTCAATTTTGAGTTTACCTTGATTCATTATAAATTCTAAGTTCCAATTATATGCAACATATAGCTTTGGACTTCCTTTTTGCATCTATACACATCAAGAGCAAAAGTCCTTTTGGCTTTAGTCCACTTGCTTCGTTAAGATAATCACTATTCTCCATAGCTCTTCCCCAGTAGCTGCTTGAGTGCCTTCTGATGTGGGAGTTTATCTTACAACTGTCTCCTCATTTATTTTGGATTTTATTATCCAAAGGTATTCCAGGTATAAAGCCTTCAGAAATGGTTCACCACTGTTTTCTGCACAGTGCTAACAAGAATTAGCTTGAGTGTCACTGCTGTAGTCCATGAGAGATCCTCAGGTGGCCTTCACTACCACTGCTATCCAATAGCCAGCCTTCAAGAGCTTCTCCACCCCAGTTGCTGCTGGAGCAGGCAGTTCTCTTCTGCTGGTATCATGGTTCATTCCCAAAGACGGTGGATGCCTCTTAGGCTGGTACCTCTGCTTTGACCTTGGGTGACCCTGCTAGGAGTCCAGAGGCAAAGTCTAACTTTCTGATGGTCTTGTTCTCAGTTTCCTGGGCACAGCTCAAATTCCCTCGCCACTTCGAAATGTGCATCCAAAAGGGGAAGGTTGGACTAGTACTGCAATTTCCTCTCAGTCCAAGAAGTCCATTTTATTTTTCACTGTGTGTGTGTGTGCGTGTAGGTGTGTGTGCGTGCCCGCGCGTGCAGAGGGGACACCGTTCTCCATTTCCTTCCCCTTCATGGAGTCTCTCGACTACATCCCACTCATTCATCCTCACTGTCATCTCTTGCACCGTCGGGGGGGTGGTGGTGGTGGTGGAGTGTGTGTGTGTGTGTGTGTGTTCCTCTGAACTGCTCCGTCGGGGAGCTGCAGCGCTCGAGCCCGGCAGGGACGGCTTCGGAAGCTCTGAGGCAGCGGGTCTTTTCCAAGCCAGAGCTGAGCAGGCAAGGGGAGCGAGCGAGCGAGCGGGCAAGACTGTGGCGTGACGGCAAATCAACGGGGCTGGGTTAAAATGCAGCATCATCTTCCTCCCCCTCCCATCCCCACCGAAAGCAAGCGAGGCAAGCGAGCTTCAGGTAGGCAGGGGGGTTTCCCAGCCCGGGGCCCCCCCCCCCCCCGCCACTTCCTCCCCTTTTCCACTCGCCCCTCACCCGCTGGGTCTTCCGCGGCCCGGCAACCCTCCCGGACCCACAGGTATTCCCCGACCCGCTCTCTCCCATTCTTTTTTCTTCTCTTTTTTAATTTCTTCCTTCCTTTTTTATCGTTTCTTTTCTTTCTTTCTTTCCTTCCTTCATTTCTTTTTTATGAGGCGGGGGAGGGAGTGCGAACAAAATCAA